GCAATCTGGAGGCCAGATGGGATTGTCGAAAACATTGAAGCAGATCAGAGTTACTTCATAGCTGATGTGAACAATATCACTAGTCGTAACTTCGACAAGAACCTAGCCCATATAGCACCATGCAATCCTGCGGCTTTCGACCTGACAGCTTCCGACAACGCTTACTGTTCCATGTACCTCCATCCTACACATGGTTTCCAGTGGGATAAAGAAATAATTGGGGAAACAAATTACACTTGGGGAACTGCCCACGTCAACCCAACTGGATGGGGAAGTGAATTCAGTGAAAATGACTGAAGTTTCAGCAATGGAAAGGATTTCGGCTTATATAGCCGAAAAACAACACAAAGCGGCCCTTGAGGCTGAAGTAAGAAATATGGCTGTCGAAGCCAGCACTCAGGTTGTCGAAGGACAACACCCTCAAGAAAATATTGAGGAGCAACATGCAAATCAGAGTTTTGAAGAAGACTCAAATGGTGAATGGCAGAACCAAAGACTTGATGCCATTTATGATGACGAACCTCTGGGGTTCGAAAAGGATCCAACCTCCACCAATATGAAAATGGTGGCACAGGATCCCTTAGAGGAGATTAATCTAGGACTGGGGGCAGAGAAAAGGCCCACTTACATCAGTGCCAAGTTGAATCCTCAACTCAGAATCGAAATAATCCAGCTGCTGAATGAGTTTAAAGACTGCTTCGCATGGGATTATGACGAAATGCCTGGTTTAGACAGAAGTTTGGTGGAATTGAAGTTGCCAATTCTGGAAGGGAAGAAGCCAATAAAACAGACCCCCAGACGCTTTGCACCTGAAATTCTGTCGAAGATCAAAGAAGAGGTCGAAAGACTTCTAAAATGCAAATTCATCCGTACAACAAGGTATGTCGAATGGATTGCTAATATTGTTCCTGTGATTAAGAAAAATGGCACACTAAGGGTGTGTATTGATTTTAGAGATCTAAACTCAGCCACCCCTAAGGATGAGTATCCTATGCCAGTAGCAGAAATGCTAGTAGATTCTGCAGCAGGCCATGAGTATTTAAGTATGCTTGATGGCTATTCTGGTTATAACCAGATTTTTATTGCTGAAGAAGACGTTCCAAAAACAGCTTTTCGTTGTCCAGGAGCAATAGGAACATATGAATGGGTAGTAATGCCCTTTGGTTTGAAAAATGCTGGAGCTACTTACCAAAGGGCTATGAATTCTATTTTTCACGATTTCATTGAAACGTTTATGCAAATTTATATAGATGACATTGTGATTAAATCTGCTTCAGGCTTCGACCATATTAACCATCTTCGACAGTCCTTTGAAAGGATGAGGAAGTTTGGTTTGAAAATGAATCCTCTTAAATGTGCTTTTGGTGTGCAGGCTGGGGATTTCTTAGGCTTTGTGGTCCACAAAAAGGGATTGAAATCAATGAAAACAAAGCTAAATGCAACTGGAAGTCAAAGATCACTTCGACAGCAAAAGACATTTCTCCTTTGATAGTCGAAAATATCTTTTGCTGGGGGGCAATTTGTAAACCCATAATTTCGACAAGACCATAATTTCGACAAGATTAAAATTCAGGCTTTAAGGTCATCTTTGTCGAAGGATAGCATCAGGAGGAGAATCCAAGAATTGCTGACAAGGTTTTAAAGTTTCATTGTTTCGACAGAAATAGATATAATGTTCTGGCAGAATAGTTTGGAGAGTTTGTGACTGAGGGCTTCGACAGAAGAAGTTTGTTAAAAAAAGATAAGGTTTGGCAAGTGCTGAAGAGTTTTTCTCCTTTAAAAGGGTTTCGACAGTTTTGAGGAGTTACAAGGTTTCGTCACCAAGGAAGAGATTCAAATTCAAAGGTTGTAACCTTTGGCAGTTGGACACATGGAGGTTTCAGAGAAGAAATTTACATGCAGGCTGACACTTGTCGTTTAGTTATAGTTTTTCCGTTCTAAGCAGTTATTTTGTTTGTGTATAAATAGGATAGTTTGTGGTTAGAATGTGTGTGTGAAAATTTGTACAAAATTCCTGTAAGAGCTCTAAGTACCCAGTGTGAGAGAAAATGAGTCTAGTATTTGGAACAATGTACGTTTAAACACCAGTTATATTTCAAAGTCATTTTAAATTACTTGTTTATTCTTCAAGTCCATGTCATTTTAAATTTCATTTACTTTTTTGCAAGTTTTTAGCCTTTCGACATTTCTTTGTTCTTGTTTAAACTTTTAACCTTATTTCATCTTTAAGTTCAAACTTTCGTTACTTGCAAAATCAAAGTCCTTAATACTTTGACAATATTGATAAAACAAACCGCAAATTAGTCACCAAAAGTCTAAGAGTATTTCGACAGAACCAAATGCACATGTATCCCAGGACTTGTATGGTTGGTCCTGCAAGTAACCCAACTTTCTGAAGAAATTGGTTAACCAGAGGTTGTTCGCCAGAAAACACAGCGAACAATAGCGCAAAAGCGACTTTGGTCAGATCAGAGTAAACGTTGAATATGATCTCTATCAGAGTCAGAGTTTTCTCTATTAGAGTCAGAACATGTTTGTTAATTCTTCAGAAAAACAAATGTTGGAGTACCAAAATTGTTCTCACACAAATACCACTTTGTTATTGTCAAAACTTAGAGATATCTTGCAGAACCAAATCTTGTTCTAACAAGAGGAAATTCTTGAACCTCCAAAACTTAGTTCACAGGTGAGATTATGCTGTCTTTTCTTCTTATGTTTGATGTGAGAGTGATCGACTATAATAGTAACAATATTAGTAGCAGCATCACCATCAGCAAGACACATAAGTTTAATGTGAGAGTGATAAACTATAATAGCTTACTTATGTGTCATTGTTTGTATTTGAAGTGACAATTTTAAACACTACCAAAACATTATTGTCAATAGAACTTTTTGCTTTATCAATTAGACACTGCTCAGCAGAGGTATGAGTTGTGATTCATGAGCATGCAGAAATAGAAGTATAAAAAATAATCATAGCTATTTCACTGTTGTATCAGACTGACTAAGACCAACTCCAATGGGAGTTCTTAGAGTGGGTTTGCCAACATGACACTCATATTTGTTGTTTTCAAGATGGAAAAGTTCTTAAATATGCAACGGTTCTTCAATGGTTCTTATATTAAAATATTAATTTTATAATATAAAAACTATAATTTGATATAAAATTTTATTTATTATTTTAATTATCATTTTAATTAAAATTTAAATATTTAAATTATAATTTTAAATAAAATAAATTTAATATAAATAATATTTTTTTAAGTAAAGTGGTGGAGACTCAATATGAATTCTTTAGGGTCTGTTTGGTTCAAATGAGGGGGAGGGGAGGGGAGGGATTTTAATGAAGGGGAGGGAAGGGGAGGGGAGGTGAAGGAATTTTTTAATCAAATAAGTGTTTGGTTCAAAAGAGAAGAGGGGAGGGGAGGGGAGGGATTTTAATTAAAAATGTGTTTGGTTCAGAAGGGGAGGGGAGGGGTTTTATTAATAATTTACAGTTTTATCCTTATAATCTTATATAAGTCATACGATATTAAAATGTGAAAAATTCGTGCGTATTTTTGTTGGTAATAAAATTTCTAATATTGAGTGATTAAAAAAATATTTATTTGTCACATAAAGTTAAAAAATTGAGTATAATTGATTCGACTTATAACTTTCCAACATAAATTAAACTATATGTCAATAACATCGTTTAAATTATAATGAATCATATAACAAAACAAATATATAAAATAACTTATTACTAAATATTAATGGTTCAAAATATTTAATAAAATGAATAAACAAAAATAAATAAAATGATATGGTTTACAATTTGATATAAAAAAAAATATGATAGAGTACATAACAAAATTAAAAGAAAAAACAAATATAACGAAACATAATTTTTTTATAAAAAAAAGACAATGATTATGATTTATATTAATTATAAAAATTATAAAATAATTTGAAGGTGGAGAACAATTATAATAATTTGATGAAAACAATCGAGAAAAAACAGTAACACAAAAGATAACAAATAGTTTTGAAATAATAAAATTAAACTGAGGATATTTTAGTAAATATAATAAATTTTAAATATTAAAACTCATATTCTCTCCCCTCCCCTCCAAATCCCCCCAATTCGGAGGGAACCAAAAAATGTGTTTTGGAGGGATTTTGCTCCCCTCCCCTCCCCTCCCCTCCCCCCCTAAAATTTGAACCAAACATATTTAATTAAAAATTTCCCCTCCCCTCCCCTCCCCTCCCCTCCATCTACCCCGAACCAAACACACCATTAGAGTTGCACAATTGAAGTAAAAATTGAACGAGTTGCTTTAAAAAAGTGGGTCCCACAAAGAACCTAAAAATGACTTACACCATTGAAGATGCTCTAATATTGATATGAAACAGCCAAAGTATTATGTGAAGAGAGGTAGCGAGCTCAAAGTGTACAAGCTACCTAAGGCATTAAGTGAATGGTTAAAATTGAAAGTATGGGATTTTTTCGATTATATTTATCCATGAATGCCTTCATAAGCATGATGTTAAAATTAAAAATTACTTTTGCCGGCTATTACTGCACGATTGTTTAATTGGAAATCGTTACTTAATGCATTATAATGTTAAGCATGCTTGTTAGATTCACAAGTCAACATGTAAATTCATAAATTCCAATATATTTTTGTATTTTGAAAAGGCTATTGAATGTTAAATTCTTTTTTGGTTTTCGTCTATGTAAGAGATTATTTAATTTAAGGTAATAAAGTCTCACTATTATCTATATTTATTATTTTCTACTTGTCCATCAAACTATTCAAGTATAATTTTATAGATTTCTCTAATTTTATAGATTTACTTTTTGTTGTTGTTGCAATATACAATGTTCAGTTAAAGGATTGAGTGATTGACTATCTCACCGCATAAAGAATTTGTGAAGATTACAGAAGAAGGATTAAACATTCAAATTCTGTTTCTCTCTCATGAATTAAATCAAAAGAAACAAAACGAAGAGAATCATGCATGTTCCTCATGAATTGATCATCCAAATCCTGCTGAGGTTACCAGTAAAATCTCTTATACGTTTCAAGTGTGTTTGTAAGTTATGGTTTTCTCTTATCTCTCGTAATTCCCATTTTGCAAATTCACATTTTGAACTCACAGAAGCAACACACAATCATAGGATTCTGTTCATATCATCTTCACCTCATGAATTTCGATCTATAGATTTAGAGGCATCTCTTGACGATGATTCTGCTTCTGCTTCACTCAACTTTAATTCCATGCTTCCTCAATCATTTTTTCTTATTGAAGTTAAAAATTCATGCAGAGGGTTTATGTTTTTGCACTGTTTTTCAAATATCTATCTATGGAACCCATCCACTGGAGTTCACAAACAATTACCTTTATCTCCTATTGATTCCAACTTAGATGCCAAATATTCCTCTTTTGTATATGGTTTTGGATATGATCCATCAATGGATGATTACTTGGTGGTTTCATTCTCACATGATAAAAGTAAAACATTGGCTAATATTTCATCACATTTAGAGTTTTTCTCACTGAGAAGTAATACCTGGAAAGACATTGAGTGTTCTGGATTGGTGAACTATACTCATTATGTTTCTATGAATGCTCCTGAAGATCGCAGAGTAGGGTTGCTCTTTAAAGGAGCTATTCATTGGTTGACTTTTCGTCACGATTCATCTATGCATGTTATTGTTGCCTTTCATTTAGTGGGACAAAAACTTTTAGAGATATATTATCCAGATGAATTTTACCATGAACCTATAGATTGTGATTTGTGGGTATTTAGAGAATTTTTCAGTCTATGGGCTGTGGAGGATGATACAGTTGAAATATGGGTTATGAAAGAATACGCTGTGCATTCGTCTTGGACTAAGACACTTGTTCTGTCCACTGGTGCCATTTCCACTCAGTATTTTTCTCCGATTTGTTGTACAAAGAGTGGCAAAATTATTGGAACAGATGGTGGTACTGGATTGGTGAAGTATGATGAAAAAGGAGATTTTCTAGAGCATCGATTATATTGTAACAATCCATGTCAATTCCAAGTTGCTATGTATACGGAGTCTCTACTTTCACTCCCTTGTGACAATGAGCAAGCTTAAGAAGAGGACACAGAAGAAGAATGAGGTAATAATATTTATCTTGTATTATGAACTATTGGACTGCTGCAATGAATGAGGTTTTGGAGGCTGGTATGATGAGCCAGTGTGCCACTTAAGCTGATGAAATATGTCATGGGATGTTTATAGGTCAAAGATTTGTAATATCTTGGTTGAAAATTTTAAAATTATTTAATTTCTTGTGTTTCACTGTTATGTATGTGTAATTGAATTGAGTTCTAATGTATGTTGTGGTAACTGATTAAACCTGTTTTATACTGTATGAGATTGTGAAGGAAAATTGAGGTATTTCCTTTCTCTGTTTTAAACCAAAACAACAAACTAATTTCAAAGTAATGACCTACAGATGAATTTATAAGACTTCAGCTAAGAACAAAAATTAAAGCTAAATCATTTCATGAACCTTAATTGTGCTACATTTACAACTTGAGTTTTCAAAAAAAAGGGGGTTTAAGAAAAAGTTCATGCAGTTTGCAAAGGTGGTAAGCTGAAAAGACGGGTCTTAACTGTTAAACTATTAGCCATAAGCATAATGCAAAGAAGTTTTTTAAAGTGCATTGAAGGCCTGTGTCTTATCATGTATCATTGATAGAATAAACAAATATTTCATTGAAAAAGATAATCAGTGGAATTAGATTGGGTTGATCATGAAAATGATGAGGTTCATGATAGCAGTGTGCTTACACGGCAGAGGTAGGAGTTAGTATGGAAAATGATCATAGCTACTGCACTAATGTTCAATAGCCTTAGCAATATGGTTTTAAATTGTCGGTGGCTAAAGCGATAATATATCTTTACAACGGTAAAGAACTGCAATTACATTCTCTACAAATGTATTGAGCTGCAATTGCATTGTAATTTAAAATCATGCATATTATCATATTAAGAATCACATAAAGACAATCTCACTAATATTTATTATGTTATTTTTATCGAGACTTAAATGTATTTTTGGTTCTCTAGTAGTACAACAAAATAATAAGAGATTATTATTACGGGTATTTGACAACCTCTCCTTTATCTCTTCTGTCGTCAATCTCCCCTGTTCTCTGGCGATATCTTCGGTACAACAATTCCCATTATGCCTCTGTCATGATGGTATCTAGGACTCGCCTGACACTAAATCCATCAGGGAAGATATCCTCATCAATATCTTCCTACGCAATCTCCACTATGCGACGACACCTAGGCAAGTCATCATCAGTATGATCTAGCTGAACCTGCTCCTCCTTTAATATTTCATAATGAGCTGGCCTCGGCGGATCTCCTGGAGCAGCATGCACCATGTACAGATGTGACACCCTAAATAACTATCTAATGTACCCTTCGACTTAGCTCCAGTCGCTCTCAGCTATGTTAGCCTGTGCCTCCTCTGCCACCAGATGACTCTCATAATCATCAAATATCTCCTCTATTTGTCCACATGTCAAGGCAGGAGAAGCAGAGACATCAGAGTGTCAGGGGATGGTCTGAGTGTATATCCAACTGTCGCATGACGCGCTCGGGTAGATGAGGAGTAGTGAGACGCGATCCGCAGATCAACCATCCAGAGTATATCACCATCTCGTCAAATGACCGCATCTCACATTGATCAACATAGTTGTTGAAGTGCATGTTCTCAGCAACCAAATGGTCAAGATAGACTCTGAAAGGCTCGATCGTCTGGTTCCCTCTGAGCGGGATAAAAGCAGTAGCACGCGGCATATCCTCAGTGTACTCAGACACACTCGCCTAGCCAGAGATGCGAGGGAAGTGCTGGAGGATCCAAACCTGAAATAAAAAGTTTGCAACACACGAATTATCGGTAATGGTTTTAAAAAGATGAAATGAAAATGAAAAAAAAAAACATTTGGTTCTTTTTTTTTAATAATTTTTACCCTTACTTTATAGTGTTATTTATTTAATAACTTTCATTGAAACCATTATTATTAACTTTCATATAACTTCGTATTATTAACTTCCACTATTTTTTCTAAATTATATTTAAATAAAGTATATTGATTATATTTTTATTAAGGGTTAAATATGTATGAGGTCCGTATAAATATGTCAACTTTCAATTATAGTTCCTCCAAAAAATTTCTTCAAACAATGGTTCTCATAAAGTTTTCTGTCTAGAAAAATGGTCCCTCCTGTTAGTTTCCTCTAACGGAGGGTGATGTGGCATGCCACTGGGATCCTTGTCATGGCCTTGTCAGTTTGAGTTGGAATAATTTTTTTTTTGTTATCATAAATAGTAGAGGAAAACTGAGTGAACCCTAATCCCTTTGTTCACCGTCTTCATCTTCTTCTTCTTATTCTTTCCAATTGTTCTTCTTCTTCTTCTTATTCGTCTCCCCCTTCATCTCAAAAATATGTCGTCTTCATCTAGGTTAAGCAAAGTAGTTTCGTACTATTCGACGACTCTGACGAACCGTGGAGTGAAAAGGTGTGGATGCAATGGTGTTATGATTTCATACATGTGCAAGAATAGAAAGAATGAAGATCGATTGTTTTGGAGATGTTCGTATTGGAAAAACGATGGTACTTGCAATTTATTTATTTGGGATGATGAAATTGCACAAGGAAAGGATGATGAAGAATGCATATATTCAAAATGGAGGAAGGACGTTAGTAATGTGAGGGAAATGCAAGCTTTAGAAACTGTGAAGGAGCTCTACGAATCATCCACGAAGAAGAACAAGAGGTTGAAGATGAAGATTAAGACAGAGACATTTTGGAGGAAACTGAAGACAATATGTGTTGTAGTTTCAGTCTTGGTCAATTTATATTTGTTAATTAGGTGTAATTGTTGATTAGGTATAATCATCTGTAATGTTGTGTAAGTGTTAATCTTGTCTAAGTGGTATGTTGTGAAATGTAACATGAACTGGTTTTGTAATCTTGAATTGGTTTGAAATACAAATTGGAATTTTATTAATTCATTTATTATTGTTCAATTGGTATGTTCATTTTGCAGTTTCAATCAAGGAACATAGTTTTGTCACAATCTGGCCTATAAATTGGACATAATATTAGATAAATTGACTGTATAACTATTATTGACTGTATAAAATTGAACATAGTTTTAGTCAATTAGTATTGTTCAGTTTGTCTAACTAGCATATAATTGACTGTATAAAATTGAACATAGTTTCAGTCAATTAGTATTGTTTTGTATGTCTAACTAGCATATAATTGACCACATAACATGTTCATAAGACATATTTTTTCTCAACAGATTTCATTAAATTAACATACCATAACAGGTTCATAAGAGTACATCAGTATAATAAACTGATCAATACAAAACATCATTTCTATTACATCAAAAGAAAATGATTTGTTCAAAAGGCTACATCAGTACATCACATTGAGCAAAAAAGTACATCAATACATTACACCAAAATATCTGTTCCTAAACGAATTCATCTGTCAAAAACTAATGCTTCATTGGGTTGTCTTCTTCAGTTAGATCCAAAGGTTCATTGGGTTTCTTCCCAAGGCCAGGAATGTTGTGTGCTTTCAAGGTTCTCAATCTTTCACTATACCTTTTTTTCTGCTGCAACATTGGACTATGTGTTGTACATGCTCTTGGTTTTTAACTTAGGTGGTTCACTTGAACTTGGCCTTGAAATATTTGTTCTAATACCAGGTGGTTTGAAAGGCTTGTTCTTGCGAACTTTGGGTTGCTTACCAAAGAAAACCTTGATATTACTTTGCCTTGGTGCAGTTTCTTTGAGAGGTGATTTGCCAATCCTTAAAGATTGAATAAGTTGGATCAGTGGCCATATCCTCAGTTGGATCAGTACTAACCTCTCCATCCTTGATAATAGCTTTTCCTTCATTTATAGAAGCCTTTCCCTCCTTGGCACTTGACTTTCCCTCCTTGGAACTTGACTTTCCATCCTCGATAGTAGCCTTTCCTTCATTGAAAGAAGCCTTTCCCTCTTTGGCACTTGACTTTCCATATTTGACACTTGACATTCCATCTTTGACACTTGACTCTCCCTCTTTGACACTTGACATTCCTTCTTTGACACATGACTTTGCCTCTTTGACAGTTGACTTAGCCTCTTTGACAATTGACTTTCCCTTCTTGACAATTGATTTCCCATCCATGCCAACAGCTTCCTCATTGACAATTGGTTCCACAGTGTTGATTGCCTCATTAACAGGTGCATCTTTAACTACTCCCTCCTTCACTTGTGTCTTCTTTGTTCCCCCCTTAGATGTACAATTGTTGGTAGATCCCTTAGGCCTCCCCTGTATAAAACAAACAAATATTTAACATTGTTACCCTTGCACAAAATACCTAAATAACAATCAGTAAATGTAAGATTTAAGTTAAACAATACCCTTTTTCTTTGTGCCAAATTGACCTTGCTAGTCTGACTTGCTTGTGTAGGTAAGTCTTGAGTGGTCTGGTTTGGCAATTCTTGACTGGGCTGCAAGTCTTGACTGGCTTGGATGGTATTACCAGAGGGAACAACTACAATCTGCTTGTTCTTCTTGCATGTCCTTTTGTTGCGACCTAGTTCAAAACAAGCCTTGCACCTATGCCTTGTATTGGTTCTATGCCACTTTGTTTGGTTCACTTCATCTGACTCTCTCCTTCTAAGTTCCTTGGGCCTACCTGAGCCACGTTTGAACAAAGGGGGCAACATGGTTTCATTGGATGTTTTTGGCCATTTGTTTTGGCCATTCAATGGGGTGATCACTTCACTATAACATTTTTCATAAGTGTTTTTATGATAACACTTATGCACATATTTCATAGGTTCATCCACTTGCCTACCTTTAGTTTTAGTGTTCATATAATGAACCACCTCAATAGTTACCATGGTATTATTCAGACTAGATCTACCAGGGACAAAAGGAGATTGATTATCCGAAATAAACTTATCTAGAACTCTCTTGAGGCGATTAGCTAGAACTTTTGCTATCACTTTATACAACATATTACACAGAGCAATCGGTATCCAATCTTTCATGGAAGTTTGGACTTCTCCTTTAAGAATACGAGTGATTTTAGTCGAATTAAGATAGACGGAAAACCACCACTCTCCAACCAAGAACAATTGGCATTAAAATTTTAAATCCTACAAGTATCCCAAAACTGATGATAAAACCCCAGATTGAAACCATTCGGGCCCGGGCTCTTGTCAACTTACATAGAAAAAACAGCTTCTTTAAATTCCTCAAAAATAAATGGAGTTGTCAACATATCATTATCCTCCTCTGAAATGGAGGGTCCAATAACTTGTAAGACCTGATCTCGAGAACTAATTTTCTTCTAAAATAAATCTGTAAAATAATCTAGAGAAATGTTACACATTCCTTCCGTCAAAGTACTCACCTCTCCATTATCACTAGAAAGAGAGAGAATAATGTTGACTTTTTTCCTAGCAGAAGCTGAAATGTGAAAGAATTTAGTATTGAGATCTTCATCCTTAAAGTAGTAAACTTTGGGTCGTTGCTTCCAGAACATGTCTTCTTTAACCAAAAGAGAATTCATGTCTTTTAAGGGCTGAAAAATAATTAATATTTCTTGCTCCCACATGACATCTAACTTTATCAATCTTCCTACTTATATTCACAATTTCCTTTCTAATCTTATGACAATTATATTTACTCCACTTCAACATGCTTTCACCACAAAGTTCCAGTTTACCAACAATATCATCCACCTCATTTTTATGCCATTTTTCAATAACAAAATCTTGGAAACCCGATTCAGTTAACCAAGTATTCTCAAATCTAAACCCTTTATGAGGCTTATGAATCCTCACACTTGCTTCACAACAAAGTAAGATAGGATAGTGATCTGAAGAAGTAGCCGTTAAGCATTTAACCCTAGCTTCTAGAAATAACAAGCACTAGTCACTGTTAGCCATAGCTCTATCTAGTTTCTCTTTGATGGCTCTTTCAGTTCCAAGAATTTTAGAAATAACAAGCACCAGTCACTGTTAGCCATATCTCTATCTAGTTTCTCTTTGATGGTTCTTTCAGTTCCAAGACTTTTGAACCATGTAAAGGGATACCCCTCCATTGGAACATCCACCAAGCCTGCATCTTGGACTGCTTTTCGAAATCCCCTTATTAACCAATTCGGTCTGTCTATTCTACCTTTTTTTCTCTTCTGCTGAAATAATGTCATTAAAATCTCCCAATATACACCAAGGTAAACTAGAAGCCTCATAAAGGTTATGAATCAAATTCCATGATAACCTCCCGCAATTACTTTCGGGATGCATGTAGAAACCCGTCAATCTCCAATTTCCCTGTCTAAAATCTTGAACAATAACATCAATATGATTGTTTGAATAATTTTGGATAGAACAATGCATGGGATTTTGCCAAAAAAAGTTGCCACACCACCTAATTTACCTTCTCTATCAACCGAAAAAGAGCAATCAAAACCCAACAAGTTTCACCCGAAAATAACAACAATTTAAAAATATTTCACACAATGGTGATTCAGTGAAAAAATTATTTATTATAGTATCATAGAAAAAAGCCAATTAATATAAATACATATTATACATTGAGACAAAGGACAATAAAGTCATTTCATTGAGAAATCTAACTTCTTTCCATCCGCAGTTACTACATGAGGCGTTGAAATCCTTTTCCTAACAATGACTTTTTTATTCAACAACTCTGCTAATTCAGAATCAACATGTGTATTATTCTCCAAAACAGAGTTGACCGCAGGACCCACATTGTCTTTTCCTTTAGTTTGAACATCATTATTAAATTGAACATCAAACATAGCAGTTAGATCAAAAGGTAACCAATCGTTCTAATTTTTTTCCATCCTATCTTTGAAATGAAGAAAATTAGAATTGACATGAAATTTGAATGCGTAAGTATCTGTGTTGTCAAATGAAAATCCAACAGTACTATCTGTTGAAACAATACCATTAAAGTGACAGGTAACTATTATATTTCTTTGAGCCATATTTAATGTGAGAACTCTATGATTTTGTTACTGGAATGTGGAATGACGATACAAATGTGAGAAACTAGCATTATATAATACACACATATAATATTCAAATGCATGCAAAAATAACCCACGTGTGTGCTCGTCCACTCAAAGGACGAACATGTTCTAACCTAGTGCCTGCTCATCCATTCAGATGGCAAGCATAGTCGTGTCAAGCATTATCTCTTCACCTCAAGTGGCGAGCACATGATGTCTGCAGAATTGTTCTCCATGCAAGGCACAACATACTAGCCCTAAGTAGCAGCCTTGCATGTATTCCATGGAATTAAAACAAGTTCCAACACCATGCAGTGTAATGTCACTTCTACTAGTGTGTGATCTTGTCACATTTATTTACTACTCTCTAACTATCCTTCTATAAATTCATGTCAGTTAAAATATTTCTTCAAACATTTTTACACTTATCACAAAATGCTCTTGCAACAAAAGCAAACATTTCTTCACCTCTCACAAAATTTATTCAAAATGTCTTTGTTGTGGATGAGCGATGAACACCGTGGAACACAATCAAACATTCGAGCTAGTGTAAGGTTTCCTCTACTATTCTATGTAGTAATATTTATAATTGTTGTGTTCACTATTATTTCCTTTTTTTTCCAGACTAATGCAAGGTTTCGAGTGCATTATCATGCTTACATTCAAGCAACTGCGGGAATAATCCCGTATTTAGAAATAGCAGGTTTTGCTAATATCGCAAAAATAAATAGTCTCAAAATTGAATCTAGCCTAATTGTAGCTCTGTTAGAGAAATGGAGACCAGAAGCACACACGTTTCATTTTCCAACCGGTAAATGCACGATAACTTTAGAAGATGTTAACATGTTACTTAGTCTCCGAGTTAATGGAAAAGCTATTAATTGTCCTACTGGAGTAACAAATGATGTTTACATGGAGAACTTAGGGGTAGAACCTACAGCAGCGGATAAAAGCAGAGGTTCCGTTAGGATTATTTGGCTAGAGAATTTATACGAAGTTTTAAAAAATAACTCTGCCACAACCCAAGAACATACTATTTTACAAGCTAAAATTTATATTTTACTTGTAATTGCTACTATTTTGTTTCCCGACAATAGTCAAAATATTTTGCATTCTTCTTGGATTCCTTTCGTAGGGGATCTAGAAAAATGCAACACTTTTAGTTGGGGTTCTGCTTGTCTTGCAAAACTATACAGAGAAATGTGCAAGGCCGCGGTCAGAGATGTCAGGAGCATGAGTAGTTGTGTTTTACTACTCACTACTTGGACATTCACGCGTATACCCTTGGTTGCTCCTGTTAGTACATTGCAACTGTCATTTCCATACGCTTAAAGGTATTACTAGAATAAAAACACTTTATAATCTGTCTTAATCAACTATGCCTAACATTTATATATTTTTTGTTTCTGTAAGATGGACCCAAAGACGCATGAATTACGACGCTAATCCATGTTTCCATCTACAACGGTATCGAAACGCACTGGACCACATGCAAGAAAAAGACGTGAGTTTGAAACCATATAACCTACTTATTGCATATACTTCTTAATTGTATTTTTTTTAATATGTTGCAGTTTATATGGAGGTCGTACATTCAATTCCCCGTGCCCAATCTTAGAGATAGCAGATTTGGAGTGCTACGATTTCTCTTATCTATTTCTATACTGTTGAAATGCATCAAACAGATAGGGTAAAACTCTAGTTCGGGTTTGAACAAAAAATCCCTTCTCTGCCAAGGTGTCTAAGGGAACACCACACAATGACGATGAAAAAAGCCCAAAAAGTTCATTTGCGAGAATTAAACAAAGAGGGGGTGAAAGAATGAAAACATAAAAGATATTTGATTTTGCAGGGGGACGTGGTAGTTGGTGAACGCAAGCCAAGCCAAGAGTATTTAAATTGGTTTCGTGCAATTCCGTATGTGCATATTGCTCCAGACCAATTTTTGATCGATCCTCGCGTACAAGGTTTGTCATCAACACAACTAACTGTCACACCAATGCATCAGGATGTGCCACCAATGCACACATCTCAATTTGGGCGACACACATATTCATTCGCTCAACATACATACCAACGCACACAGACCACCGAACAACACATATTCTATACATCCTCATCCCAACACCAAACTCCATACACTTCACTCCCTCAACAAAATTACCATTACAACTACAACCAAGAATATAAACACCAATCCAACCTTTGACCACCCTTACAGTTCACTCCAAGTTCCTCCGCCAAACTTTGATCAATCAAACTCGCAATCCCAACATCAAACCTTCAACACTTCATTCTCTCAACCCACCTCCACTTTCACGCCTGATGATATCTACTACCCAACCCGAAACCTACACCCAACCACCACAATCATCACATTCATTCCAATATTTTTTGTTGACGGGAGATCAACTGATGCAAATGCTAGATTTTAACATTTATGACCTTCTTGCGGAGCAACCTACAACACAAGCGGACCCCCTTTAAGGCAGGAGAACCCCCTACAACACATCACGATCAAGATATATCTTCCAATTCATCTCAATCACCTACAAGGAATGCAAATGAACGTATGGATAGGGGATATCGACAAAAAAGGACACTAGGTATGGAAGTGAGGGTCATTTTTGATAAAATGTATTTTAATTAGTATGTAATATGTATTTCCTTCATATATTTTATTATTGCATTTAATTAATGTAATATGTTTTTAATTAGTATATAATTATTAAATTAATATAATTGTTTGAATATATTATTTTTAATTAGTATATAAGTATTAAATTAATATAATATATTTTTAATATTTAAAATTACTAAATAAAACAATTATATAAAATAAAAATATGAAAAATAAAAAAAGTCACGTGCTCGCCATCTTAGTGGACGAACACTCTCATACAAACCATTTTGTTCATCTGCTCGCCACTTGAGAGGACGAACACGTACTATACAGTTAAGGTAAATTAAATTTTTTTTCAAACTAGGATAATATGGTATATAATTTTTAAGGATTTTTTTAAAGTAGCAATGTTATATAATTTAATTACCAAATAAAACAAGCTTTCAAAAAAATTACCAAAATGACAAACTTTGAAACTCATCCGGCATGCATTCGCCAAATGGTTTGGCGAATTAGTTAAAATGTTCTTGAATGCATTCGCCAAATGAAATGGCGAATTAGGCCATTTGGGAATTGGTCAATGTGTTGTCGCCACATGAATTGGCGAATGTGGCTAATTTTTAGGGTTTCCAATTTTTTTCGTTTTTCTTGTTTTTTTTTATCATATATTTAAAGTTTTAAAAATTTATTTGTTTTTTGATTTTAATATCATTATTATTAGTAACTATAAAATATATTAATTTATAATATAAATAATATTAATATAATTAAAATATTATTATTAGTAACTATAAAATATATTAATTTATAATGTAAATATAATTATTATTAGTAACTATAAAATATATTAATTTATTTGTTACTTATTATTTTCTATGTATTAGACTTATTAATATAATGTAAATAATATGCTAAAGTTAATATTTTTAGTATTTTTTAAATTATAGTTACTAATAATAATATTTTAATTATATTAATATTATTTATATTATAAATTAATATATTTTATAGTTACTAATAATAATAATGATATTAAAATCAAAAAACAAATAAATTTTTAAAACTTTAAATATATGATAAAAAAAACAAGAAAAAGGAAAAAAAAATTGGAAACCCTAAAAATTAGCCACATTCGCCAATTCATGTGGGGACAACACATTGAGGAATGCCTTGAAACAACATTTTAACTAATTCGCCAAACCATTTGACGAATGCTTGTTGAATGAGTTTCAAAGTTTGTCATTTTGATAATTTTTTTAAAAGATTGTTTTATTTGGTAATTAAATTATATAACATTCCTATTTTTTAAAAAAAAAAATTAATTTTTAACATCAGGACAAAACAGTAAAAAAATCATCACCTGATAATCAACCAATTTAAAAAACACCATTCGTTTTGAGTTTGGGTCTCTGTCAATTAAGACTACCATGCACCATATGCTCTCCATTAATGCCTTACGCAACTTTAGCATTCAAACTTTTGAAATTGGTTTGTTGTCCATCAGTTACAATATCTTCATAATGACCTTCAGCCGGACAGTTACGATTCCCGTAGCCGGAAACATGTCCACCTCCACCTTGGGTCCTACCATTCCTCAACCACATATTCATGTTACTATTTCCTTCGAACATACCATTTTCAGCACGGACGAAGTTCCCATAGCCCCTTAGTTCATCTCCAGCACTGCAACCAAATTTTTGTGACACAAATTTTCTGAGTGACCTTTAAGACCACACAGAAACAGAAAATCCCAAGCTTCTCGTACTTGAAAATGACTTGGATTTGATCACCTTCAAGCCTGTCAAACACCCAAATCTTTTTTAACGGTTCCTGGACGTTGATAGCTACCTGAATTCTCATATATTTTCTCCATGAACTATAACTATAATGTTCATCATACGAGATAAGTCTTCCAACATGATTTCCGATGAGGATGTCGATATCCTCATTCATGAAACCAAACAGTAATTGGTGCACTTGAACCCAGATTTCAACCTCGTTGATAGGTATGGTGAGAGACTCCTCCCCAAATTTCAACCTCCTTAAGATCAGCATGAAGTTGTCAAATAACCACAGACCTCCTTGGTACACTCTCTCCAAGTGTGATAGAATTGAAACAAGAACTTATTTTCTTCTATTTTTGAAACTGCAACACCTTGTCCTGGTTGCCATACATGAGCTAGCCTATCCTTCAACGCATTGAATCTGATCGGTCTATTAGTCAGCAAAAAGCCAACTAGACATAGATCCAACACATCTTCGAGAGTAAGCATGGTAGGATCAATATTGATTCGTCCAATACCATCGTGCTCAGAAAAGTTGGAACGCTCCATAGTGCCAAAGAAAACAAGGATACCAAGGATACCAAGATATATGCAATTGAATTTTCTAATGCTTGGCCTCTTAGATTGATGATACAAACTTTGCATCCACTAGGTTTTTAAATCAATTCTGATGAGGCAGCTTCTCAACAAAACCTTGACACCATTAATATCAAAAATGATTTTGTGCATGATTCTTATGTGTCCTTGTTTTTGAGTTGAACAAATCTTCCTTTTAAGACCAAGATATCAAAACTTTGCACTAAGATAACAATTCCACTATATTTGAACCTGTGCCATATGATCATCCAAAATGATAACATTTGATTGCCTTTTATAAACCATATCCCAAAAAATCTCCATATATGATAAATCCCAAACTCCACATAAAGCATAATATTGACGTTGCTCCCTCCTTTTTGAAACTCTTTGAGTTTGACACAGACAACTAGATCTGCAAAGAATCTCCCGATCTTGTTATCTTCTTCCTCCACTTTTACAGAATCTTCCATCATAAACTAGAGCAACTGACTTGAATAAAAATTCTTCAGATTGGATGCCAACAGCGAAATCCAATCGAATTTAGTGACACTCTCACTATATCAACACAAGAACGCATAGTATTATTATGAAAAACTAATGTAAATATTATTAGTAGCCAAAACTAATATTAAAAAAATTAATAAGAAGTTGAATATTTTGTAGTAATTTAATTTACAACAATTGTATTTGAAATGTTGAATAATTAATAGCGAAATTATAATATAAAAATAGAAAAATAAAATAAAATAAAAATAATTATTTTACTGTGCATTAATTAGAATTGATTTTAAATGATAATTATAAATTTCAAATAAATAATATAAAATCATTAATTGTGGAGCGCTATTCTTTAAAATGCATACTTGAAGTTATTTAAAATAATTGACTGGGCTGTTGGGTTGGAGCCCAATTCCTATTTGTATTTCATCTATAATAACCTAGAGACCTGCAACTCAGAAAACGGATAATGCCGCTATTTGAGAAGAAAAGGTCGATCATGTTTCTGCCTCACGAATTGATCATCGAAATCTTACTGAGGTTGCCGGTAAAGTCTCTTTTACGCTTCAAATGTGTTTGTAATTTATGGTCTTCTCTTATCTCTCGTGATTCCCACTTTGCAAATTCACATTTTCAACTTTCAGCCACAACATCCAATCCTAAGATTCTATTAATATCAACTTCAACTCATGAATTCCGATCGATAGATTTAGAAACATCGCTTAGCGATGACAGTGCTTCTGTTTCATTTAACCTTCCAGACTATTTTACAGATTTTAAAATTAAAGGGTCATGCAGAGGCTTCATACTTTTCTGCGGCTCCTTTAACATCTACGTATGGAATCCATCCACTGGACTTCACAAACAAATACCTTTTTCTCCTTTTGGTTCCGATTTAGATGAAGCTGATTATTTTTATGGTTTTGGGTATGACCATTCAACCAATGATTACTTGGTTGTTTCAATGTGTCATCCGTTACATTTGGAGTACTTCTCATTGAAATCTAATACATGGAAAGAAGTCGAGGCTCCTCACTTCTCCTATGCCGATATGAATATCTACCGGAATCAGCCCAAAGGCGGATCTCTCTATAACGGAGCTATTCATTGGTTGGCTTCTTGTTATGATTTACCAGCTGAATTTAATCAAGTAATTGCTACCTTTAATTTAATGGAAAGGAAACTTTCATATATACATTTGCCACAAGATTCTGACGGTAATCGTTTGCAATTAGGTGGTTTGTGGGTATATGGAGAATTTCTCAGCATATATACTAAGAATTATAGAAATGATACAGTTGAAATATGGGTGATGAAAGAATACAATGTGGACTCCTCTTGGACTAGGATTCTTGTTCTTCCTATCGATCTCATAATTTGCCCAAACTCTGTCTTTTTTCCATTGTGCTGTACAAAGAGAGGTGAAATCATTGTGGTAGATGAGGATGATGGATTGGTGAAATATGATAAAAGTGGAGAATTTCTAGATCTACGTTCTTATCCTCATTACGATCTTAGATGCAAAGTGACTATATATATGGGTTCTCTGCTTTCACTCCCTGGTGACGATGACAACAAGCAATATTAACAAGAATGAGTTTTGAAATTTTCTCCTTCATTATTTTCTTGATATTTATGTAGCTGGATTTTATTCTAATATATGTTTTTGTTACTGCTTGAAGGTAAATTATTCCAACGAGTTTATGCATAAATCACAACTATATGACTCTTACTCAAAGCAATTCCTTAAAAATTTGATCATAACTACATATGTATTTGAATGAAATAGAAGGTTTTGTTCGTTAATTTCGTGCTTGTCCTATGTTTCAAACCAGAAAAAATAATTAATTTCAAACTAATGATCTATATATGACCACTTAAATGAATTTTAATTTTTTAAATCATAAGAAACATCAAAACTAAACTACATCGTGAACCTAAATAGGGAATTTTTTACTCATATGCCACAAGCTGAAATGGAATTAACCAGAATGCCACAAGTTGGAAAATATTTGCAGGAATGCCACAAAGCCAGGATGGGTTCGTCCAACCATTGGACGACCCAATGAAACCATATTTCACGCAGCAAGGGTTCGGCCAATGGATGGCCGACCCAGCTCTAGGTCCTTTTTTTTTTTTTTTTAATTTCAGAATTAAAATGTATTTTTTTTTATTATTTTTTGTTTTTAATAGTTTTTTTAATATTTAAATGATTTAAATAATATTATATAATAATAAAAAAATAATTTAATTATTTTAATATTTTAATAAATGATATTATATAATTTATTAATTATAAAATATATTTCAGTAATATTTAACTATTTAATTGTTTAAAAAAAATTAATAAATGTTATTATATATTAATATTAATAATAATATTTTTGAAATATTAAAATTATTTAAATTATAATATATATTAATATTAATAATATATATTTCACATTATATAATTAATTCATAAATATAACTAATTATATAAAAGAATAAATTGAATCATAAAAAAAGAATATTATTAATATTTAATCAGGGGAAAAATACATCAATTTTAGACTGGCCGATTTGATGGGCCTGCCACGTTTGGACATTTTCTCCGCATATGACCGATTTCTCGACAAATCCCACATCTTCTCTTTTCTTTCTCAAAATCGTCCATTTCAGTTGTAATTCTTGTACTATTTGGACGCCCTTTCTTATTTCGTCGCATTGTCTCGTCATGGCAAAGAGTGAATCCTTCATATGTTGGCCAATTTTGCTGGTGGGGTAGTCCAAGGAAGCTTTGGCTGTATACTTTGAATACACTTAGAACTTTGAAAACATCTGGTATGTGCATGTTATGGTCCTGTCGTATACTGACACATGCTGCGATTACATGAGAGCAAGGTAAATGAAATGCCTGAAACCTCCCACAATCGCACCACCCTCTCCTGAGATCAACGCTAAAAGTACCTAATGGTCGGCCATCGCGTTGGTTAATGCATTCGGCAACCATAAAACAGAATCTCTCGCGATCAAATTGAATGACGTTATGACTGCTAGATTTAATAGCCTCGTCGGCCATTCCCTTGATACAGTTTTTCGTGAAAGTTTGACCGGATGCCAACAGTTTTGTCCAATCGTGTCCTCGTTTTCCAAACAGCGATCCTAGACGATAGTACGTTGACTTGACCAATGCTGTAATAGGAAGGTTTCGGGTAGCCTTAAGTACCGAGTTCATAGATTCGGCTAAATTTGTGGTCATGTGTCCCCACCGCTGTCCTCCGTCAAACGCCCTCGACCACTTCGCTCTGGGAATATTGTCAATCCACTCCAAAGCTGCTCTATCTGTTCTTCGTAATTCGCCCCTGTAGTAGTTAAATGTTGCCTCTGTTAGTGCATATCCTGAAAATAATTAAACAAAATGATTAGTAAAACAAAATGATCAAAAAATTATCAATAAAACTTGTGAAGATGTAAACATACCCATGTTGACAACTGTTTTTCGTAGTGCTTTGTTTCTGAACTCACGCATGAAGTTTTGCGCAATATGTCTGATACAGTAAACATGTGAAGATGGAGGAAACTGCCACCCATTTTCAGGATCATCGTAAGCACTCTTGATTGATGGATGTCGGTCGGATATTAGACAAAGATTGGCCTGGGGGGTCACGTGCATTCTCAAATTCTTGAGAAAGAAACTCCAACCATCCTTTGTCTCTCCTTCAACCAATGCAAACGCTATCGGAAAAATGTTACCATTTCCATCTTGTGCCACAGCCATTAACAAAGTCCCTTTGTACTTGCCGTACAACCAGGTTCCGTCTATTTGCACGATTGGTTTACAGAAACTAAAACCATGGATACACGGTTCAAATGCCCAAAAAAGTCGGTGAAATTTTCGTTTGTCACCCAACTGGGTTCCGTCATCTGTAATAATCGGCAATGTTTCCAACTGTATAACAGTTCCAGGAAGATATGTCTTCAGCACCAACAACCACTGTGGTAGGTCATTGTAAGACGTCTCCCAATTTCCATAAAGTGCTTCTACAGCTTTGATCTTTGCAATCCAAGCTTTCCGATACGAGATTCTATAACCGTATTTTTCAGCAATGTGGGCTTGTATAACTTTGACTTTCAGTGAAGCGTCGCTGTTAACAAGTTCTCTGATGCTGTGGCTAATAATTTCAGAATCTAATTTTCTATGATCCTGTGACATTGAGGTTGTAGTGCACGTGTGTGAACCCTTTATAGTAGCGATCTCCCATAATGTGCTTTTTTTACGCACAGCAGCTCTACATTTGAAGACGCATTGTGGGTTTGTACATTTTATTATATACCTTACTGAATCAGATTTATATACTGCATAGTCAAGGTTGTTACTAATATGCCAATGTTGTAAAAAAAGAACACATTCTTCCTTATTTTCAAACACCAAGCCTACTTCCAATTTTTCACCATTATGGTTTGGTTTTTCATTTTCAAAAATATAGATGGGTTGAGATGACTCCATACATATGTTTGACATATGAACTGGTGGATTGTACAGATTTATGGGTTGAGCATATATTACCTCTGACTGCATGAGTTCATCGTGACCGTCGTCATCGTCATCACCGAATAGGTCTTCAAAGCGAACATCATCGAGCTCATCGTCACTGTATTCACCAACCTCCTCGTTCCGGATGAAAGGTTCATTATTTTGCGTTATTTCATCATCAGTTGTTTGGCTCACCCCGTATTGATGCGAATATGATGATTGCGTTGGATATGCCTCGTCTTCAAGGCGAACATATAATTCAATTGTCTTCAACTGGGGCATTGTGTAATGACATTGAAACATTGATTTGACTGCGCTGTCTGTATCTATCTGCATCATTACGTAGAACACATCATCGTCTACCCCATTACGTATTGGTTGACGGTAAGTAATATCCTGGACAGAACGATTCACTTTTTTTTCAATTCTATCTTTTAGATGACGGATATCAGAACTTCGGTGAAGTTTGAACATCACCGTATCTGTTCCGTTGAATGAAAAACCGATATTTTCATCAGTAAACACGGAACCGTTATAGTGCATAGTGACCAATGTGTTTCTATCTGCCATGACCAAGGTTTTTGAAAATTAACAGTATGAGTGTATGAGTGGGAGGTAGATGTGCAGTCTACAACAATTGCATGCAAAATATATAGGAGAAGCGTGCATGCTGTACAAGTTAAGGGACGTCCATTCAAAGGACGAACCCACACATGCATAGTAAAGGGTCGTCCAACCCAAGGACGTACCAATTCATTTCTAGTATAGGGTCGTCCAACAAAAGGACGAACCAATGGGAAACGTGTAGGGGTTCGGCCAACGAAAGGGCGAACCATTGAAGAGGTAATTTTGCATGCAAGCCACTTGTCGTTGCATGCTTCTAGGGTTTGAACTATTAGGGTGCAGAAGAATCCATTAAGGCTGATGAAAAATAATAGGGTGCAGTATAGGGTGCATGCATGTGAGTTTCCAAAGGCTATTAGTGTGTATCACTACTTCACCACTTCAACATTTTTCTTATAAATACAATGCACATCCACATTTTAAAAATCATCACTTCAACATATATCACTACTTACTTCTAAATCAATAATTCAATATTTTTAAATTGCAATGTTGTGGTTGGGAGAGATTCAGACTACATTCTCATGCTATCGATGCACCAAGCAAAGAAATTAAACCGTTTTTGGAACGAGCTGGTTTCGCAAAAGTTGCAGAAATCTCCTCGATCAAAGTTGATTCAAAGCTTGTAATCGCTATGTTGGAGAGGTGGAGACCAGAAACACATACTTTCCATCTACCAACAGGTGAATGTACCATCACTTTGGAGGATGTGAGTATGTTATTGGGTCTTCGCGTGAATGGTAAGGCCGCGAATGGTCCTACTCAGGTAGGAGGTGATGTATATATGGAACATTTAGGCGTAGAACCTACAACATCTGATAAACATAAAGGGTACGTTAAAATTGTTTGGCTACAAACTACATTAGCACGATTACGACAAAAAGCAAGACCAACCGATAAGGAAAATCTACAACATGCAAAAATATATATTTTATTACTAATAGCTAAGGTATTAATGCCAGACAAGAGCCATAACTATATGCATTCTTCTTGGATACCCCTAGTTGGAGATTTAGATAAATGCAGAAGATATAGTTGGGGTTCTGCTTGTTTGGCTACACTATATAGACATATGTGTAAAGCATGTATGGTAGGGGTCAAAAGTATTGGTGGGTGTGTTCTACTACTAAGTGTTTGGACATATTGGCGTATACCACTAATAGCTCCAGAGTCTCCCGCCACTGCACACCATCCTTATGCAACAAGGTAAATTTTGTTTACATTTTCTTTATCATTTATTTTCTTTTTGTTTCCATCCCTAAATTATTTATCTTTTTTTTTAACATTGCAAGATTTGTTCGAAGAGGCATGGCTTATCAAAATAATCCTCGGCACTACGTCCGAGGATTTAGATTCGCACTAGACAGATTAAGGGCTAACGATGTAAGTTTGTTAACACAACATTCTCTAAATATGTGTCACCCATTGTATTAAAACTCTAACACTTA